CTTGCTTCTCCCTCACTCAAGCATTTGAGCATCGGTCCTCCCAAGGTCCTCTTATACAATTTTACTCCCTCCAATTGATATTTGGGAGCCATTAATTGAACTCTGCGGGCCTCCTTGGGGTCAATAGGGAGCTCTCCCTTTTCAAGGTATGTAATCAGGGGGCTCATCCAAGTTGTACCTGGACCGGATATCTCAAGGACAGGGACCGCCTCTTCCCAAACAGGACAGATCCTTTCGTGCTGCCTTACCATACCCTCCATGTGGACGGGAATGGTCCTGCATAATTTGGCAAGCATATCCGCCTCTTCATTCTCCTCCCTTGGGACATATATGAGTTCATAGGACTCAAATTGTCCAAGTAGAGTCCTGGCGCAGTCCCTGTATCTTTTCAACCTTCCTTCCTTGGCCTCCATCTCTCCTTTTAGCTGCCCGATGGCCAATTTTGAATCGGATTTAAGGCGGATGTGCTTTATCTTCATGAATAGGGCAATCTGGATTCCTCCAATGAGGGCCTCATATTCTGCTTCATTGTTGGTGGCCCGAAATGTGAACTTAAAGGAATGATAAGCCTTGAAGCCTTCAGGGGAGGTGAGGACCGCTCCTCCTCCTAAATCGTCTTTAGTGCAGGATCCATCTGAATGAATCTCCCATAATTCCTTTTTTCTCTCCTGATCGGTCCCATCCTCTTCTGGTTTCCCTCTTGCCGTGCACTCCACCATAAAATCGGCAATGACCTGGCCCTTCTTGCTAGAACGGGGCTGGTAAGAAATATCATATTGAGAGAGGACCATGGCCCACTTAATGACCCTTCCTGAAGAGGACGGGTCCCTCAAAACTTCTCCCAAAGGCTGGTCCGTCATGATTCTCACTGGGTGAGCTTGGAAATAGGGAGTTAACCTCTTGACAGTTACCACCACCGCCAAAACACATTTTTCCAAGGGAGTGTACCTTGTTTCCGGTCCTCTTAAGGCCCTGCTTGTGTAATAAACTGGCTTTTGGACTCCTTCTTCTTCCCTCA